GACACAGGTGTCGAGTTGAATCCTTGCGTTGGTCGGAGACGTGTCTCCGCTGGGACGAGGTGAGCACTCCACGGTTCATGAAATTGATCATCCACAGCGGCTTGAATAGAGATGCTACGAGCTGTGTATGGTGTATACCCAACTGCCCAAGGTTCACAGAACATACACTCATATGCATCATCAACCGTACACGTCGGTGAAGACGTCATGGCTGAGTCCTGAGGCATCTGATTGACACAGTACCATTGCTGTGATCGATCAACAGAATCAACTGTCACAGAGCCGACTGGACTCGTTGTAGTCGTGGCAGATTCTCTCCATGCAATGTTGTTTTGAACTGTGAAATGTTCACACCATGGTTCCCCGAGTGCTCCATCATCTAAGATTCGTCCATATCCAGCATTCTGCTCGTAGCTAGCGAAATACTGGGCCCATGGCTCAAAATGATCGGGCAGAGGGCGATATGTAGGGTCTGAGCACCCTGGTGGCAACTGTGGCTCCTCATGAAGAAGAAATAGGTCAGGCACGTCATCCTCCTTATTCGGCAGGACCAGGCCAAATTGGTCTCTCCCACACAGCTTCCATGTAAAGAGCTTGCGAGACTCCCAAGTACTCATGTGTGCCAAAACTTCATTCGTCACCTTCATGATGCAAGATGTGCTATCCCCCCGATAACACTCGATCACAGCATATTGAGGCTGACGTAAGAGCACCTTCGTTACTTGGATCTCTTCCTTTGCAGCGGAAAGCCAGGTGGCATCATGTCGAAAGAGATGTCGGATGTATACATTGGCCTCTCGAAAGGCTGCCATGGCTCAACCTGCACCACCCTCACGGGTGGCAACGGGCGCGCCGCTTGTAGGCTTGAGCCTAACGCCTCTGGCATCGCTACCAGGAGCAAGGACGCAACTGGGGGCTCCTGGCATCGCTACTAGGAGCAAGGACGCATCTAGGGGCTCCTGGCCTCGCTACTAGGAGCAAGGATGCTACTAGGGGCTCCGGGCATCGCTACTAGGAGCAAGGACGCTGCTAGGGTCTCTTGGCATCGCTACTAGAAGCAAGGACGCTACTAGGGGCTCCTGGCATCGCTACTTGGAGTGAGGACGCAACTAGGGGCTTCTGGCATCGTTACTAGGAGCAAGGATGCTACTAGGGGCTCCTGGCATCGCTACTAGGAGCAAGGACGCTACTAGGGGCTCCTGGCATCGCTACTAGGAGCAAGGACGCTACTAGGGGCTCCTGGCATCGCTACTAGGAGCAAGGACGCTACTAGGGGTTTCTGGCATCGTTACTAGGAACAAGGACGCTACTACGGGGGCTCCTGGCATCGCTACTAGAAGCAAGGATGCAACTGGGGGCTCCTGGCACTAGGAGCACTACGGGCTCCTGGCCGTACTACCAGTAACAAGAAGCTATTAGTAACAAGAACTCATTGTAAATAATCACTTTGTATCCTAAGCCAAATGCAGGCTGCACAGCCGCCAGGTTCTGATGTGAATGCTGAGAGCGCTGCGCATCGTGGCGCGTAAAGAGGCACATCGAGTTGCATTGGGAAGGGACGCGGACCGCCCCTAGGACCTGCAAACCGCGAACAAATGAGAAAAAGGATTGTAACTAGGAGCAAGGGCCTTACTACTAGTAACACGAAGCTAGTAGAAACAAGTGCACCGCTACTAGTAACAAGTGCCTTACTAGTAGTAACAAGAAGCTCTAAAGGATTCTAAAGGTCTACAGAATAAAGAACAAGGAAACAATCAACCAACACCAACATCAAATATTTTATGCTCATCTTCTGTCACCAACAACGTGCAAAGCCTGGCGCTTGACAAATCACTCTTACCGGAGTTGGCTTGATTTGGTGCCTCCTCGTATATCTCTGCCGTCTGCGGAACTCCATAGAATAGCACGTAGTTGGCTCCTCGAAATCTGCTGTCTCACACAGATTCTGGGCAAACAGTGCAAGCCTTTCAAGCGAAAGCGGCGGTACCAAAGGAATCGCCTTGGTGGTGTCGGGCACATCCCAAAATTGAACTCTAAACCGCAAATGCCAGAAGAACTACCTCAAACTCCTAGTTCTGAGCTTTTGTGTCTGAGACGTCTGAGAACTGCGTTTGACTTGTGGTTGCCGAGATGCTCAGTCACCAGGAGGAGCCGGCGCTCGTTCTGGAAGAAGTGTTGGCGAGCATGTCCCACAGCCTCAAGACATCAGTCGAAGCGGTGTCACGTGTGGTCTCCAGCTGCTACAAAGGCAAGAACTTCTCCAACTCAAAAAGCTCAATGACTCAACACCCTTCTTCTTTGATACCTTAAAACCAAAGGCCTTGGGTGTCGAGTACTCAAAGATTGAGCTGAAGCTGGCTGCTTCCTTGCTTTGACAGTTGCAATGCTTGAAACAAACCACCTTGTGGGTACCTTTTTGCAGCTCAAGCATCTGAATGAAGCAATGAACGACTAATACTATTTGTCGTCTTTCATAATGTTTCTGCACAAACAGCAACGGTTCTTGTTTGGAGCCCAAGTCGTCCTCCCGCAAGAATCGCCTCAAGCGCAGGAAGTTGTAGTAGGTCCTTACAAGAGTGCCCGTCTGAAATAACGTTGGGAACCTCTTGCAAGTGGGGCTGCGACGTGGCAACAACTAAAAGCCCTTCCAAACCACTGCCCAAGGGGCGCCAGTACCTGACAAGGAGGCCAGAACAAAAAGACATGAACAGACTTTTACAAGTAATTTAGGTGAAATTCCAAAATCGATGCCATTTCTGTCGACAGAACTTTTCGGGAACTGTACTTTTCAGTGCCTGGTCTCAAAGGTCTCAAAGAGACGATCGGACTGCTCTCCCAGGGACCCACAGGGCCTCAGTTCCCGAAAGCTGCGACCTGGATTTTTCCTCCAACCTACTAGCCATGGCCTCCAGCCTACCAGCGATGGCCTCCAACCCAAGTTCCTAGTGTTTGACACCCCCAAGGTTGACTACGGTCAATCAAACTCCATGTAGCTGTACAAGTAATTGCATGTTTCAAGAGAGTGTCTTCAACCACATAGAACCAGGAGTTCTGCAAGAGCAACATGGCAGCCTCTGCTGTGACCAACAACCCGAGGCATCCAGTCACCTTTTCTGTGCTCCTTGGTTCCCTTGCGTATGCAAGAAGAACTGCCGTGAGATCCCTAAGGCTGTGGCCTGCACCAATTTATGGAGGAAAAGCTGATTGCTGATTCAAACATTCCACCGCTCAACTCTTTCCTCTTCCGTTCAGAGCGAACTCATTCGTGACCAAATGCAGATTGTGACGCAAATGCAGCTTAATAACTTGTTGCGCTCCTCCCGACAACAAACTGATGAGTCCAACCCGTGCCCCAACCTGCCGGAGAGGCTCTCCCTCAGGCAAAGACGCCTTGGGGCATCCAGCAAAAGCATGGCGACCATGTAATGTTCAAAACATCTGACAACTCAGCAAACAAGTAGAGATGAGCAAAGCAATTTGGGGGCAACTTGGATCACCAGTATTTCGAGCTGAATTATTTACCATAAATTTTGAACAATGCAAGTGCAGGTTCTTTACTCAAAATGGCCCGACGATGAAGGGTTTTGTGAGCCGATCTGATGGGAGAGTTGCGAAACAGAAAGTACAAGAGAGTCATACTTGCCGCACACGCAGCCATGTGACATGCGGGGCAAATGGGTTAAAATGATCGGATGAACAACAACTTGCGCTTCCAGCATGGACGTGTATGCCGACATTTTTAGAAGAACAGGTCAGTGGCGGACAAAACTTCTTCGTCCCCAATTCCCAACATATTTCCACTGTTTCGGCCCCCATCGGTTTCCACTGTTTTGGAATGCAAGCGATGAGCTACTTACAATCAAGAAAGGGTCAGTTGCAGGGTTTTTGATCAATTCAAGATTTAAGGCGCTCATGGCTAAGTACATGTACGGAAGTTTTGTCGGATGCTCATGTAGAAACTGGGATATTTTGCAGGCACTCGGCACTCCAGTTACTTTTTCTCTATGCTCCTCTGCACCTCTTGCGTGCTCAGAGTCACAGCAGCCTTGCAAACTCACATCCAGCCCTCTGCCCTTGTCTGTAGCTTGTCTGTCCAAAGATTGTCAACGTCCGAGGTGCCATGAGCCCCACGGCATTTGAGATCATTCCAAAATGCATACAGTAAAACATTTGACGATACCTTCAAGAAACTTGTTCCGAAAGCATCACAACTTCTTCAAATAGGAGCAAGAGGACGCTACTAGGAGCAAAGGGCATCGCTACTAGGAACAAGAAGCTACTAGGGGGCCCCTGGCATCCCTACTAGGAGCAAGGACACTATTAATACTCTTGCAGGGCAACCGTCTCCTGGCCTCGCTTGACGCTGGCCCGACGTGCAGCGCGCAAGTGGAAGAGCTGCAGGGTCTCTGGCACGAATGCAAAGAAGCCTTTCAGAAACACTCTTGGAAAGTCTTGGATCAATCTTTACGCACCAAACTGCAGCATATCTATCAGTTGAAGCACGATTTGATTCTGATGCCACTCGCCTTGACTTCAAAGTGACTTTGTGCTTTGTTAGGGAATGAAGCAAACAACACCTGCTTTGGGAAGCCTAAAAATGAGAGTCTCAAGACTCACCCCCCAAGCCTTCTTCCTCGCTGGGAAGCTGTTGCTGAACCTCCACGCTGAAGCCAACATCTTGCCTTGGGGCCAAAGCCAAGAACGAAACAGGATCAGAATGATGAGATTGTGGCATCAACATGCCTCCAAACGCACCCCCTTAGACCTGTTGTTGAGCTCCCCAAGCTGTGCTTGGGACTGATTGAGTCCTTAAACCCTGCAGACTCCAATCAACGTGGGAACACATGTTGGAACGAATAACCCCTGCCAGTTTTATGTAACTTACGTACATGCAACTGCACTCTTACGTACTACTGGCTGCTCTCTCTTGAAACCCACCTGTCCCAGGACATGGCATGAATTCTGTGTCGCCTTTTTTCATTCCTGGCGTCCCAAAGGGTTCAGGAGTGAAACACGTTGCCGCGCACCAATTGACCCCACGGTTTGATGTAGCCTTGGACTTCCCTCTTTTCCTGATGGGCTCGTGTGGAAGTCGGAATTGTGGCGTGAAAGAGTGGAAACCGATCTGGACCTGCTAGACCTTCGAAAACAGAACACCGATCTCACATGCCTTCCATCCAAAGGCTTGGCATCCACTGTACGAAACACCTGGTGGATACTGCAACATCAACTGATCTGCAGTCCTTGAGAGACAGAACCATGTCATCGAAGGCAGGCAGCTCACCGCCGTCTTTGTCAATCACCTGTTTTTGGTCTTCCACAAGCTCAAGCACATTCAAGTGAAATGCCAGTGAATTGCTAGAATAGTCCAAACAACACATGTGATGTTCATGGCACAATGTGCAAATTCTTTGTGGTCTGCCTTCTTCAACGTGTAGGAGCCGTGCTTGAATGTTTGTCCAAAGACATAGCTTGTCCTTGCCCACTCGTTTCCTTCATCATCCAGCTGTTCTATGTACATAGCGGAGCAGGTCATCCAATCGACGTTGAAACATCCAAACAAAATGCTGGGCAGGTATGCTTTGCGGTATGCCTCATCCCAGCGCACTTGCAACGTATAAATGGGATTGATGAAGGTGAAGAACAAGTAGAATGCCCACCCCATGTAGCTATCGCACCACACCCAGGTATATGGTGCCCCCGGGAAAAGCTTCATAGTCCTGGGCTTCTCTCGAGCCAAGAACAGTTGACTCTTCTTTGAGGTTTTCTTCGATTCTCTGTATAAAGTGGCCAAATGTCAGCCTTAAGAAATGCACCCGAGACCTTGTTGAAGCAAGTGGCTTTAGATTTGGAGGATATATATATATATACACAGCCAGGACAAAAGTTGGTAACAAGCTTGTGAGTACATAGCCTACAACCCGTTCCCCTTAGAATCCTACAGGGGATCACAGTGGAATGCTGGCGGATTAGTTTGCACCCCGAAGCAAACTTATAGTATTACAATTTAGTTTGGGGTGGAAACTAATCCGCCGGAATTCGATTGGGAAAAAGAAGTGATGTCAATGACATTCTCCAGTGAAGGTGTTAGTAAACTTTCTTCCTCCTGAAGCATAACAATCCAGACCTACGGCCTATTATTAGAAGGCTTTCGAACAAGACTGGGGGAATCCGCACCTCTCTCTTCGATCTAAAACAAGGCATCCTTCTAGCCACAGCATCCGTGAAGCAGCATCGAAGGACGCAGCTTCAAAGTTGGTGCACAGTTCAGGTGAGGGATCAGTGCTCATCCAAAAGACACCTCGAAACTTCTCTGGCAAGTCCTGCACCAAGCTGCACCAAGCACCAAATCCAATTGAACTGCTAGCAGGCTAAAAGGCTTCTACATCTACAATGTGGAGGCACATCTTGGGCGTCTTCGTGTGACAAACACCCTTTGTCGAACCTATTGCCTCTGAAAGGTCGTCCTTGGACTGCGGGAGAGCATCTTTCCAATACCTGGGAAAGTTGATGGCAATAAGATGGGAAGGAGAAGAAGCCTTGAGGTCAACGTGTTTCTTCCTGAGAAGCCTCACTATTGCTGGGTCATACATACACCAACCCGCCAAGTCTCACTATGGTTTTGTAAATTATCTTTTACCCAACATGCAGAACCTTGCCGACACCAAAAACAACAGCTGCAAACAATCATGCATGAAACCAAGATGCCGAAAAATCAGCCTTGCAGCCTCATCACCCGGCAAGCGCTGAACAGTTCTTATCGAGAACACAGCTGAGAATAGCAGGAATGGCAAAGCAATCAGAAAGGCATACCTCAGGGAATCTTCGTAACATGGGATCAAACATGAACAGTGAGACACTGCAAAATGCAGGCTTTACTGATGTCTGAATTCCTTGATATCGTAATACCTGAGAACTAATAACGCTCCAAAAAAAATGAACGCGCCTTATCGCAGCTGCAACGAAGGCACCTTCGTTGATATCAGGGACAACCCGTGCTTGCTTGAGTGAAAAAGCCAGCAAATATAGCAAAATGATGAGCAACACCAAGTTCACAGGAACCGCATACCATCGCGGCGAAATGCGCATCTTGATGCATCTCAAGGTAGAAAACTGTAGAATGTGCTGCCCCCTTGGCTTTTGGAACACACTCACCTGGGCCATGCATGTCCTCCTTGCCCTCGTTTGAAGTGAAGCAGCTGCAGGGCAGGCAGATTAAATATGCCAGTTGTGCAGGAACAACACATCTGGAGACAATCTTGAATCTCTGGTGTCTTGGACTCCACTACCCCTACCACCAACACGAATGCTTGTGTAAAACCACTTTCAACAAGAGTGCTTTCTTTTTTGATGAAAACTAAACAATCAAAGAACTTACAAACCTCGAGGAGTCATAAACGTTTTTTGTAGTTGTGGGTACGACCATTTCACCTCTTCAAAAATGATGTTTCCGTTTTACTGTTTAGACACACCTGAAGCATTGTGTGTTTCAACTTTGGATGGCTTCAGTTAAGCTGCAGCAACGTCCTGATCCGTTCGAGTCTGCCGTTCACGTCATGGACCTCCGCCACCACCTGCACAAAACTTCACTCTTGTCTTGCAGCCTCGCACTGCCCCCTGCTCGAAACCACCATGCAAATATGTTCCGTTTGTCACTGGTAGTGCTTTCTTAAACGCCTTGACCTTCTTTCAGGCCTGACGAATCCGTGGCCAGTCTTCAGCATCAATTCCTCTGAGAACAGCCTCCTGTCGGTGACATGAGTCGGTGGACTTGGTCCCGAAAAGCAATCATCCAATGCCAGTCGGTGTCAGTGCAATCAAGCATATCCATTCAATATATTCAATATCAAGAAATAGCCCACAATGCTTTATCGGTGAAGGGGCGTGGTTGAGGATATTCTTATACCTTGAACGCTCCATAAAGGAATCAAGCTGCCGCATGCTGCCGCTTGTTTTTCTCCAATGGGACCAAGCTCCTCTTGCATCTACCGGGAAACGGATCTCAGCCGTACGTGGCTGGTCCGTTTTCTCCGGAAGACACTCAAGTGCAGGGAGACCGAGGAAGGGATTCCCATAGCTCTCCTGGTAGGCCTTCCTTGGTATCCCTATGGACTATCCAGCGAGACTGCGGGAGCGGCCGCAGTGTGGCCCCATCAAAAAGAAAAGTTAAAAATTGGACCAAGCCGTATGTACGGATGTCTTCACTACCGATGGAGAAGCTCCCATGTGACGCGTGAGGGCGAACTCAAGTCTACTCGGGCCGTCGGCCAGGTTGGACTTGGGCTCAACACGGGCGGCTAAGGTCCGAAATTTCTGTTGCAATCAGAACTTTATGACCCAAATGCCGAGTACAGGCCCTTATCATCACAGCCACGTAATCTGCCATCGTTCAGAAATCCTCTGTGTTCTGGCGGCGGCTGCATTAGTCACGCCTGCGCTATGATCATCAATGCGCCTGTATTTTGGGGCGCCGTCCTCCTTGAAGCCCTGACGCAGGCCGAAACTCGGAATGATGTTGAAAAAGCGACCGTGCCTAACTTCCAAGGTCTGGACGGAGAAGGGGCCAGCCATGGTACCAGCTGAGACAATCTGGAGCGCCCAGCTCTCGAGTTCTCAGGAGGTTTTAGGGCGCTGGCGTTCCTACGACCTGTGCTAAGGTTTGCAACTCGTTACGCACTCCCTTGGAGGAAGATACACGACCGCCCGGACATGACTTCTCCAGGCCACTACCATTGCCTGACTCAATGGGGCGTTTGGACCGGAGAACACCTCGAGGAAGGCCTGCTTGTTCATCGTGAAGCATTTTGTACAGCTGGCATAAGCGGCGCAAAACCCACTCGAGTACTCTCTCTCATCACCGGTCGTGAACTGCACCACCTCACCCGAAGTGACAGCTGGTCGCCATTCAAGTGAGGGAGACCTGTGCGCTCGCATAGATGGTCCCCACCACACACTCTTGCTAGCGCCGAGAAGTCACGGTTTGAAATGAGAACTTGATATTCCAACGCCTACTACCTTCGAACATACATGTAGTATACTCGAAAACCCTCACCCCTCCTTCCAAGCCGAGGAGCTGCTTCCAGCTTGGCTTAAACGCATTCCATACCCTTCTCGGCTGAAAGGTCGGCCATGTAGGTGTCTTGCTCTAAACGTATAGCTTATAGCTTTGCTACTCATCCGAGTTAGTTCGGATGGGATACCAGTTGGGTGTTCCTCTGACCTCAATGGATGCGGTGGGACTTCACTCCAGGAATGGAGATTTCACGTGCTCTGGAGAAAGTGGCACAGTTTGGCGTGTAATGTGATAAGTTTGCCAGACTTGTCTCACCGTCCAGTCGATCCCTCATTTTAAACATACACAATCCCCTCAAGAGGTCCCAGGGCTCTAGGATTACCAGAAAAGGTTCGGGCGCAAAAGAAAATGAATTAACGGGCGTGTGAAACTCTTCGACCTCAATCGACAACGTGGCGGACTCACTGAGCGAGGGCCTTTTCCCTGGAAGATCCGCTTGTCCCTGGTTCTTGGAGTGGCCGTCTCCGCGGTTCCTGCCACCGTCATGCTGGTCACCCTGTCGCCCACGGTCTCGATCGGCTTTCCTCTCCTTCTCTTGCTCTGCCTTTCTTTCGGCGCGTTTCTTCTTTTCTCGCTCTCTCTGAAGCTTCCTGAAGTCCGGGGGCAAGGGACATATAGTGGATCGTGCTTCTGTTTGCGCGCTACGCAGGTCTTGAGGACCTTGTCCTTCTTGGCTGCACTATCCTTCTCGGCACTGTCCTGGTTGCTGTCCATCTCGACTGCTTTGCGCTTGACTCGAGTCCCTCTCCCGCTCGATGCCTGGCAAGGAAGATATCACGGGGTCTAGTAACCTCCATATGGGCAGCTCTTCATGATCGCCTGTGCTCCTCGAAAGCCGGCCACCTTATAAGGAGCTCTTCATGGAGTGTTCGTCGATCAAATCGGCGCACTTCCTGAAGTGTCGGAGGCTGCATGCCTTGAGGAACAGTGCCGGTGAGCTTTGCGATGTATTTGTCGGCAAGAGCACGATATATGTCTTGTAGTTGGCGACTTCGATGTAGGCAAAAGTTTTGCCTCGGACTCCCATGTATTTTCGGAAGATTTCCAAATCGGTGGCTTTTCACCGTATGTGTCAGGAGCGGAGGCCGGCGGAGGCCACGTCTTGATGGTGAGTGTCTGGTCCTTGCCAAACACTAACTCGCCCTTATTCTTCGGGACCTTTCCTGCTCGTGAGAGGCACAACTCCTCTTCCAAATGAACTTCCCAACGCCAAGACAGGTGCTCAAACGTGGCCCCCCTCGCATGGTAGCTTGAGTCAAGGCGCGTAGGCTCGGCCACTCTGAATCTGAGGAGGGCGCAACGAACTCTCCCCTCTTTTATCGCGGCCGTTTCCATGGCGAGCGCCCCTGGGACGTTGACTCTGCCTTTGGCGGTCTCATCCCCGGCGGCCAATCTCTCCAACTCGTTCTTGCGCTGCTCCTTCGCCACGAGCCACAACTTCCTCAACGCAGCGGCCTCCTCAAAAGGATTGCCATGGCACCGGAGGCACGCGTGGAAAGGTCAGGAGCGTCCCATCCTCGCTCTCACAGGCGGCTGACGGGCACAAGGTGGACTTCAAGAACTCCTCGAGGTCCTCCTTGGATGGGATCCTCAGAGCAAAGGCTTCTGAGGTTTTTTTGCAATGGACTTTAAGACCAAGAAGTCAGACTCGCCCACGCTAAACTGCGAAGCGGTTTTGCAGAAGGCCACCGGATTACTCATTGCGGATGCCATTGGCGGTGGCCTCGCAGCGACCCCGGCGCAGGGTTTTGGCGACCAAGCAGCTGCGGTCATGCGTTGCAACTGCTAACGCGCCACCCCGTGGTGGCGGTCCCATCCCCCCGCTACTCCCCCACAAAGTAGAGGGGCCTCAACTCGAGCTGCCAAGTTCCTGAGGCCTTCAAGCGCCAGACTTCTGACTCGCCCCCGAACAAAACAAACCTGGAGGCGCACAGACTTGCTGACTGTATGTCGTCTGCTCAGATCGACTGCATGCCATCCAGTCAATTTGCGCATCGTCGTACATATGCAGAGGGCAGAAATGATCTGTATGATCTGCTCCGCCTGGGACAGCTCCCTTCTCGCCTAATGTCATAAGATCTTGATGTTGGCGATCTTCTCGGCCTCTTGCTGAACTCATCAGTGAAGGCTCTGCGCAGCAAGTTCTTTTCCAGTCCGGAGGCTTCGGCAGGGGGCGGCTGCTCCATGGCTCTACTGACAAAAGCTTTGACCTCCGCCTCAGAAGGCGGGTTCCAGGAGAGGATCCGAGGATCTCAGGAATGTTCCGAATCGAATCAGGAATCGGAAACGCTATATACCGTCCCAGCACAGGTCAAGCGGATGTATAGCTCACCGTTGCCCAAAGGACTTATATAGATCGTCTATACGTCCTTTTCCAAGCCATGCGAGATCAGGCCACTCCATTCCCCACGATTTCCTTGCTCGCGCCGGTCTTTTCACTAACTCTGACTACTTGGTTCCTGGCCCCATGGATGTTTTAACAGCCATTCACACGCTTTGCGACCTATCCATCCTTATTTTTTGTTTTGCCCCGAGCGCCAACTCATGGGAGTGTTGAAGCTTGCCAGCTTCGTTAAAACTTGCCTGACTCCGGCGGCCAACGTCATCTTTGGTTGGGCTAACATGGTGGGTAGGCCAAAGGCAATAAGCAAAATCGGCAACAAGGAGCAGGCAATGCTTCTTCAACTGTTTTTGGCAAAGCGGCTTTATCCATGCGGTGGGCAAAAACCATCAATGGTGCAAGATATGTCAACCGGACAGGCGTATAGGCGCCCGCGTGCAGTCTTAATGAAAGCTTGGGCCCCACATCCTTTCGTGGCATCGCAAAGAGCCAAGTCTCTGAAACAATGTTTTGAAATAGTTTTCTCGCTCAAAGCAAAAGCACTTCAAAGCAAGAACCACCAACATCAAGAATATGGATTTTGCAAGAGATTCTGCCTGCCGCAAGCAAATAGAAGACGCCGATCAAGAACAATATGACGAAATTTCTTGGACGCGCAACTGACCGAAATTGCCGCAAAAGGGCAAACGAAGTTCCACAAAATTTCATACAACATTCACATTGACAAATTTTCACTAAAATTCAAGAATA